CAATCATCAATCGATATCGCTCACCTTATATTATTTCCCCTTCTATTGTATTTCATTTGGATTTCACCATTCTTAACCCTCTTTCTCTATCTTAATACTATGCTTTAATACTTAGTGAAGGACTGATAACCCTGGCCTATATTTCATGTCACTGTGGGATCTAATGGTCAGTATCTATGAGAATGGAGATTTCTGCATATTTTAAAATATGATACTTATTATTTTTAAGAAGTTGTGTTATTCCCCTAGATATTTTAGCAAACCTAGTTTCAGTGTCAAAAAAGGGGGATGGGAGAGGAGTTCTCAAATTTTTAGAAGCTTTTATGAGTATATAGTGCAATTTTGAAGTTTTGTATTATTCTATATTAAACTGGGGAACTGTTTATATTTGGGCCTGACAAGCTCTCTTTAGTCATCATGAATTAGCAATAATATTAATTTATATTTTGTTGCTGGGATACTAGAACTCAACAGTTTAAAACAAGAAGACTGAAGTCACATCAAGGAAACGATTCATCTTGAATCTTGAGTTCTGAAGTGAGAAATTGGTATTATTTATGCGAGATTTATGCAATTTGGAAAAAAAAAACCAGAGAATCGTTTAGCCAAAATAGATAGCCTCAGTGGAAAGCACATGGTTTAGCTATTGGTTTCCTTTGGCAGTGGATAAAGATGCCACAACATTTAATCAACATCACATCACAAGAACAAATGTGCATATTTCAACTTTTTCACTATTTCTTTATCTTGATTTATTCATTACTGCTTTAGAAAGCTTTCTAATTTTTTTTCTGGGCAATGTAAGGGCTACAACAAAAAGAAAACTAAAATTAAAACAAAATTCCTTATTCAGTGAATGGAGGTACTGTGGTGAACCAAGTTTGTGATTTACTTAGTTGAGGATCTCTATTTCTGAAAGAAATAAAAATGACTGTTTTAAATTATTAAACATCTTAATAATTATTTTGGTTTTATTTCATGGAATATGTATGAAAAGAATTCTGGAATGGGGTTACATGACTGCATCACTTAGCAATGACAATTTTAGCAGTTTGGGATGCCACCATTAAGCATTGACTGTGTGGGTCATTAAGTAAGGACATCAGAGGATCGTGACTTCTGACTTCCTGACACATTTCTCATTGACTTTGCTTGTGGGAAGCTGGAGGGGAATTTTGGAAATCGCAATCAGACAACCACAGATCATTGCAATGTCATAATCACAAGCTGGATGCCTGGATGGCAATCAGCTGACCACAGGGATGCTGCAATGGTTGGAACTCCAAGGACCAGTTATAAGTCCTCTTTGTCTAGCACCACTGCAATTTGGAATAGTCGCTGAACTATAGTCACTGAACATAACCTGACCACCATCTGTAAAGTCTATTATAATATTTTTTAGTGCTGTAGCCAAAGCTGGGCTGTATGGCAATACTGAAAGCTAATCATATTGGAATAGCTTCAGTAAAGCAATGGCATTATTGAATGCTCAAAAACACAAAGACAGGGAGACAGCTCAATTGATAGAATATTAAAACATAATGTAGTTTCTATGCAAGAAATCAAGAATAAAACTTTTCTCTGCTATTACAAAACACTCCTTCAATAGATTCAAGCTCACTATCTGATGTACTACTGAATATTTCTAGGTGACTTATATGTATACAAGATAGAAATAAGCTTTGTTTCCATTCCCAGTCTCAGTTTCTGACCCAGGTAATATAGCAAGCATGAATAAATAAAAATAAATAAAGGAAAATAAAGAAAAACTTACAAATTTCATTCTCAAATGGTAATTATGAGAATTCATGCTCAAGATTTGCAACCTGTTATTTTTATGAATTGGATACATGCATGACCAATGTCAACTTTTAGGATGTCCACTCTTTGTTATGGTGGAGTCTACATTGTTCACTGCAGATTATGTGGGTTTACTACTAGTCCTGTTCTTTATGTTCTGTGCCTCCTTGCACAAATGTCAAAATAGTCCTAAGTACAAAAAATATTTTCACAAATCAAGAGTGGAGTCTTTTGTTGTTCTATATAATGTTCCCCCAAGAATTCACAAAAAGGAATGAATGATATATTGCCTGGGTCAATGGTTTCACTGATATTTAGGGAAGTATTGCCCAGCATAAACCCAAGATCATGAAACAATGTTTTGACAGTATTGCAATTCTAAAATTATACATCTGAAGGAGAAGGTTTTTTTTGAACCAAAGAGTTGAAATAGGCCATTTAGTCCATAAGAAAATCTCAATGCAAAAATAAAAATTAATTTACAAATAAAACATCTTACAAATGCCTATCAAGCCTCTGATTGAATGTCTCTCACTAAGAGGACCCATTAGCCCATAAAATGAATGTTAATCAGTTATAGGAAAGATAAAACTATAAACCATTATGTCTCTCCACTTGTGGGAACAACATCTGCCAGCAAAATGGATGACTTCTCCTGCTGTTTGCACATATACCTAAATCTTCTCCAGATGGTTGGGAAATTTCTGGAGTTGATTTAGTGGATAATGGAGGATACAATGGTCGGGTAGGGAGAGAACAATGCAAAAATTATTTTATCAGTAGAAGTTCACTTGTGTAACATTGGAAACAGGCCACAAGCAGAAACACTCCTTGTTTTAAAAGAATATTTATTATTTCCTCTCTTACATGGGGAAGTCTCTTCCAATGGCTTCAGCAATTCTGCTGTCTCAAATGCAGCTTTGGAATGAATTTAAAATGGGAGTGAAAGTGAAATTACAGAAAAAATATAATGAATTTCTAGATTAAGAAAAATACCACCTAGTAACTTTATTTACTATGTCAGCGATGGTGAACCTTTTTGGTACCAAGTGCCCTAACGGGAATGTGCGTGCAAGCATGTGCACATCAGTGGTGGGTTGCAGGCGGTACACCCCGGTATGGGCATACCGGAGCCCCTCCGGAGCACCGGATACCGTTCCGGTATGGTGCTCCGGAGGGCCCACCCGCCCTCCTTACCTGTCTTTAAACTCTTTGGCGCTTCCGCGCACGAGAGTACAGTGCCTGTGTGACGCTGGACGGTAAGATGCATAAGTGTGCTATGTGGGTGTGCATGTGCGCTGCGCGTGTTCATGTGGAGGACACTGGGTATGGTTGCAACGGCATCTGGAACCCACCACTGGTGCACATGCCCGAGCACCAGAAACCCAAAGACCATCTGGCTATCACACGCATGCTTGTTTTTTGGCTGTTTTCTAGGCTGTTTTGGCCTGGAAAATAGCCTGATTTTTGGCCAATTTTCAGGCCATTTTCCGGCGCCCGCAAATACCAGCTGGCCGGTACGCATGTGCGTGCCAGAAACAGAAGAGCATCTGCCAACAGTGTGCATGCCCACAGACAGGGCTCTGCGTGCCACCTCTGGCATGCGTGCCATAGGCTTGGCATCAAGGTACTAGGTTATGAAGGAGATGCTCTACAGTTTGAAAGGGAAACCAATCGGAATAGTGAATAATTTTATTTTGCCTCGTTCAGATTGTATCCACCCAATGTTTGCCTAAAATCAGGACAATACATTTGTATGATTGCCACTAATAGATAAGAAATTACACAGGGAGAAAAAAAATACCCCTTTCCTCATGGCAAGTATGTACTCCCCTGCACCCACAAGAAAAGAAAAGACAAAGGAAATAGAAATATATGATTGCAAGGGAGAAAAAGTAATATAGTGGAGAAAGAATTGAAAAAAATTGTATAGTAAAACACATGCAAACCTTCCTTGTCTTTTTCTTTTTCCTGATTAAACTCCTGTTCATCTCCCACACAGGACTCCCATGTCTACCTAGTGTTTCTAATGTTATTTATTATATTTCCTTTCCATTTTTTGTATTCTGCTAAGCATCTTCTTCTACTCACATGTCTGCTTATCACTCATCTTTCTTAGCTTTGTTCTTTTTTTTTCTATAGTTTTTTCAGTCCTCTCCCTATATGGAGGAAAGGTGTCTCACACACTCATCAGAGAAAGGTACAGCTGCAGTACAATAGTTGTGGGTCGGTAATGCTAAAGGACCAGACTGACCTCATCAAACAGCTTAATAAACGATTCCATACTTGAGATTCTATTCTCCTTATACTAAGTGGTAACAGTTTAATAATTGGAAACATTCTCTTCCGCCAAAGACTGCTGCATTGAGATAATGATTCAGTTATTGGAATTCCAAAGGAAGACTGAAATGTATAAATCATTCTGCAAAAGACATATTGCTTAAAAGTAATATTTAGCACTTAGGTACAGAACGCTAGAATGAAACATTAAAAAACTGGAGAGACCATTTCCTATGTCTAATAAATTCTGTACTTAGTACGTCTAAATGAATAATTATCTTAAGCAAGTCTGGAATCACAAGAAATTATTAAATTGATCTCTGCATGAATGTGTATTTTTCATGCGAGAGAGGGAAAAGCCTGTTATTTTATCTCGTTGCTCCCTTAATTGTTTTTCTGTTTCTATCAATCTTTAAAATAAATAGACTTGCTAATCAAGTTACGAAACAAAGAGCTGCTAATGGAATGTGAAATTCGAGCAAAGGATATTTCATGAGCCAATCATATTCTCACAAAGAATACATCCAAAACCTCAACATGAAAACACATGTGCATCTTTTCTAATATGAGAAGCATATTTTGCCATTAAGGTTTACCTTTTCTATGTCTTCGTAGTTCTCATTCTGCCCATTTTCATAAAGCCTGGCATATAATCTCCAGATTTCTCCATCATTTGTTACTCGAGAAGTCACTCTGCCAAAGAGGGCCTGCAGTTTTCCCTTTAATCCTTTGGCTGTCTCCCCATTTCGGTCACCTACTTCATCCATGACTACCTTTACCAGAATCTTGAGCACCTTAAAGAGAAGTAAATTGTTAGTTATAGTTTGACTCCCATAAAGTCGAGTGGAATTTCCAAAATGTTTGTTAATACATCATTCAATAAGCCCTCCCCGGATAATAAGCCCAATCGGGCTTTTGAGTGCATGTGCTAAAATAAACCCTCCCCCCAAAATAAGCCCTCCTTGAAAATATTTAAACGCATGCACAGACGGTCCCCAACATTTCTTCTGGTTGCTTGCTGTGCAAACAATACAAGGTGAGGAGGTGAGGCCTCCTGTGAGGAGGTGTTTCTGCAATAGTACCATCCTACATTCCCCGCACAAACATACTTTTTTTTTTTTACCTTTGCACTAGAAAAGACAAAATCAGTATGGAATCTGGAATGCTATCTATCCATTATGAATGGGGGTGGAAGGATCAAGTACTAGCTTGGCTGATTTCCATCCCCTCCAATGCCTGTACTGTCTAAAGGAACACACACACACACAGTGCTATAAAACATCCACTTCACATCTGGTTACTCATGAGCCACTGCATTGGCTTGCCTCTTCAGGGGTTCTTGGAACAGAGGCAAAGTGCATGATGCTACAAAGATAGAAACTGACGACATGATATGCATTTGAGGTGACAGGCCTGAGGAATTCCTGGGTAGTATACTGTTAACTTTCAGGCCACAGGGCTAAAGGCTCCCCAAAGAAGGAAAATGCTAAGAAAAGTACAAAGAAAGTACAAGGAAAAAAAAAGAAATTTTGCAATTGTGGTGATTAGTGGAGATCATAAGTATATGTATTTTCTGAGGAAAGAAAGGCTAAACTGGATAAGGCTGCTACTTCCTCCCATCAGAACTGACGGGAGAGGTATCCATTGCTTATGCTGCTGAAAAGGATCGTTTTACTTGGTCTTGATGCAACTTGAAAGAGTTATATTTTTAATTACTTTCTAAGAAATTCTAAAACAGGCAACTTAAGATACTTATAATGCTTTAAGTTATTCTTCTTCATAATGAATCACATTGTTTAAAATTGGACACATGAATAAAAAGGATTGGCGTCGTACCTGGACATCTTTATACTTTTCTTTTAAGTCCATAAGCCTGTGATAAGCTTTAATGGCTTCCGAAAATTCTCCAATATCGGTACTGGTTAGAATGTAATTTTCCCAAATCTGCCAATGCTCATAATTACACTTGAGAGCTTCCTGAAGAGTCCGGAATGCTTTAATTCTAGTTTAAAAAAGAAAAAAGAAAAAATAGCAAGCATTAATTAATTATAAAATTGTTTTTCCATTAAAGGCTTCCCCAGTTGTTCATTTAGAAGCTTTTTATTTTCTTGTCATATTGAAAAGAAAAGTGGTGAACAAAACTTCTTACTCTGCCACAAAGCCATCATTAACTGGGAGGGGGACTTTTATATATAATCACAGTGATGTGAGAAATACTTCCTCTAGTGGGATCCAATACAGCTGATGAAGCATATCAACAAAATCATTTAGAAGGTGTCCATAATGGAAGACACAATAATTGAATTCGCTCATATTGTGGGGTCATTCATATTAAGAACAGGTGACACACACCTGCCTTTAGCTGTGAAGGCTCTAACACCTCAGAGGAAAACAACATGATATCAAATTTGTTCTTTGCCAAATGGAAGGATATTGAATAGAAATGGAAACCAGACTCCTAGCCCAAAAGAGAGGACCACCTCAACAACATGTTCTGTATAATTTTGGGAGAGAGAAAAAGGCACAAAAGCATGAACATTGATTTCACTAATCCAGTCACTGGAATTCTTTCACAATGGTTTAAACCTTTCTAAGATGAATACTTGTCAGAACTTCCTGGGTTATTGTGTATCAATTTAATTTGTTTCTCCTCACTTAGCAAAGAGAAAGCCACAGAGCCATTTTTTGCTAGCCTAAAGTAAGGTGACCAGATTTTAACATTGGTAAAGCGGGACACCATTGACCGGTGTGTGTGTGTCTTGATTAAAAATTTAGTCTATATGCTGCCTCCTCATTTGCTGCCCAGCGCTGCGGCTGAGGTGAAGCCGCCAAAGCTCCCGCTGGCGCCCCCGCCCGTGGCAGCAGCGCTGCCCCTCCCCCTCCGTTCGGAGCACCTGAGCTGGGCACCATGTTACCCCTGCCGTCTCCAACAGAACCACATTTGCCGCCCGGCGCTGCGGCTGAGGTGAAGCGACCAAAGCGCCCGCTGGCGCCCTGCCCGTGGCAGCAGTGCCACCACCTCCCCCTCCGCTCGGAGCACCTGAGCTGGGCACCGCATTACCCCTGCCACTGCCTCCTCCTCCGCCGTGCTTTTGAGGAGCCATGAGGCCGTGGGAGTCAGTAAGAAGGCAGTGGAGGGGGGGAGCAGGAAAAAAAGGCTTCTCAAAAGCACGGCAGAGGAGGAGGCAGTAGGGGTAATGCGGTGCCCAGCTCAGGTGCTCCGAGCGGAGGAGGAGGCGCTGTTGCCACGGGCGGGGCGCTGGCGGGAGCTTGGCAGTTTCACCTCAGCCGCAGCATAGGGCAGCAAATGTGGTGGTGCTGTTGGAGGAGGAGGAGGCGGCAGCAGTTATTCTAATTGTGGCGGGGGATTTGGGGGTTCACTTCAGCCGCAGCACCAGGAGCAAGCGGCTAGGACTGGCTGCCCACAAAGGACCTCCCCAGGCTTGCTTTGCTGCACATGGGGCAACTGACGATAGTTTGAGTGGGCGCGGCCAGCGCAAACTACCATCAGTCGCCCCACGCTCATCAAAACAAGTCCGGGGAAATCCTTTGTGAGCGGCCAATTCTAGCTGCCTGCAAAGGACCTCTCCAGCTTCCGGAGCCTGTGACAGTAGAAATCACTGTGCAGCAGTTGCAAACTGCTGCGCAGTGTTTTCTTGCCACGTGCGCAGCCGACCGAAAAATCTGAACTTTTTTAAAAAGCCGTGGGACGCTGGACAAATTGTTCAAAAGGACCCCTGCCAAAAAGGAAACCAAACAAGCAACCAAATATAGTAACAAAACCAGGAAAAAATATTGTCCCAAACCATGCCATCCTGGAATTTGAGATTGAGTCTGGTTATGGTAGTTATGCTACTTGCCAAACCAGGAGAGTGAGTTCTAGGCCTCCTTAGGCATGAAATCCAGGTGGATGATTTTGAGCCAGTCACTCTCTCTCAAACCAACCCACCTCATGGGTTTGCTGTTATGTAGAAAATAGGAGGTATGCTTGCTGCCTTGTGTTAACCAAATATTGTTAAGGCAGGAAATAAAAGAATAGAGACGATGATGATTAGATGATAATCATAATCATAGTCTTTTGAAACACATTGTAATTGAGTCATGGTCTTGTGGCATCTGAGTTGGTATTCAGCAGGTTCTGACCAGTTCTGGAGAACCGGTAGTGAAAATTTTGAATAGTTTGGAGAACTGGTAAACACCACCTCTGACTGGCCCCACCCCCAATCTATTCTCTGCCTCCCGAGCCCCAGCTGATCGGGAGGAAATGGGGATTTTGCAGTAACCTTCCTCTGGAGCGGGGTGGGAATGGAGATTTTACAGTATCCTTCCCCTGCCACATCCACAAAACCACGCCCGCCATGCCATGCCCACAGAACCGGTAGTAAAAAAATTTGAATCCCACCACTGATCTGAAAATCTGGAGCTGCAGCCGATGAACTTTTATCCTAACAACTAAGCTGAATATCAGATTCTCCCCAGTCATACTATCACAACTAGTTTGGACTGAGCAAATAGAGGCATTGGTTCAAAGATATCTAATGATTACTTCTAAAGAGGCGATTAGCTGGAAAGCTTCTTTAGGCTATTTCTATATTAACATTGAAAGTTGCTGAAAAGGACATTTGTTTCAAGAGGACACTTGAGCATCTTGGAATCTCTTTGCATCTATTTTCTGTTCCCTGAAATCTCTGAGGCAACTGCATCTTTCAGTCTGCTTATTCCATAAATACGTCTGAAGACCTCTTGAACTTATTTATGGCTTTTGGTTCAATGCACCCTCTTAGCAATTTGTTTCCTGTGTATACAATACTTTGTAAGCTCCCTACTGGTTTTCTCATTTTTAGTTTCTTTTGAGAAAGCTGATAAATTGTTTTTCATGATGTAAAGAAAAAAACACGATAAAAAATACACTTCAGATTGTTTTCTGAAGATGCATTCCTTTAAGCAGAAGATTAATGGGACACAGTCTAAGCAGCAAAAATTATCTTGACAAGTGAGTTATTTTTCTGAAAAACTGAAAGCCGTTTTATCAAGAAGATATCCAACCAAATTATTGTTACATAAATGAAACAACCATGCAAAATTAAGATATCAAGTCAACTCATAAGATTTATGTAAGGTACATTTCTAGGAAAAAGAAAAGATACACTTAATATTGGACAGCCAATTTTCACAATGAATATTGGAACAACACTGCAAATGCAAATCATTAGCCATATCACCTGTTTTAAATAAGATGCAGTCTTGTTTTAGGATAGGATCCTGGTTTAAATAAGAATGGTGCTATGCATTTAAATATCAGTAGTCTCCTTCTCTTGCCACAGCGCATTATTTGAACTATTTCATAGCAAAAATAGGACCCTGAAGTACATATTAAACCTCAATAGCAAATAGTCAGATTAGTCAGCGAACATGAAATGTACAGATAGTCCTCGACTTACAACAGTCCAGTTAGTGACTGTTTGAAGTTACAACATCACTGAAAAAAGTGATTTAAGACTGTTTTTCACACTTATGACCATTGCAACATTCCCATGATAATATGATCAAAATTCAGATGTTTGGCAACTGGTTCATATTTATGATGGTTGCAGTGTCCCAGGAGCTATGTGATCATCTTTTGTGACCTTCTGACAAGCAAACCTAACAACTGTAGTGATTCACTTAACAACTGTAGCAAGATGGGGCAAAATTCACATAATTGTCTTGCTTAGGAACAGAAATTTTGGGCTCAATTGTGATCGTAAGTCGAGGACTACCTGCAATGACAATGATAATGTTGTTGTACAATAGAACTCGAAGAGGCATTGGCTCCAGATATGCTGATATGACAAAACATTACTTCCAAATTGGTTATGGGTTGGAACTATGGGAACTAATGCAACAAATCTGGAAGACACGATATGGGGTACAGTCCTGGATGTGGGTGCTTCTATAATACTTTGCTGCTTGGTCCTTTTTCCAGATTTATTGCACTAGAATTCCTATAGTTCCCACCCAAAACCAATTTGAAAGTAATGTTTTGTCATATCAGCACATCTGGAGCTAATGCCTCTTCTAATTGTATTGTATGTATGTGATGTATGTACGTATGTGTATATACCCTTCCCGGATAATAAGCCTAATCGGGCTTTTGAGCGCATGCGCTAAAATAAGCCCTCCCTCGAAAACAAGCCCTCACCGAAAATATTGCAACACAGCAGCAGCCATGAGGTGACCACGCTCGCTGCCTCCTGAACTTCAAAAATAATAAGACCTCCCCAAAAATAAGCCACATGCTTATTTCGGGGTTCAAAAGAAAATAAGACCCTGTCTTATTTTCAGGAAAACATGGTATTTATAAGTATACGTATATAAAAAACATATGCCAGGTACAGATAGCCCTCCCACTACTAGCTTCACTGTGAACCTAAAATCCTAATTAATTGTACATCATGCAATAAATTTTTTTACTGTAACATTTGTGAGTGCGGTGAGATCTAAAGAGTTGCCTTTCTTTCCAAAAGTTTTTTTTTCACGATATAATCTCTGACATTCTAATGATATTTATGGTGGAATGCCAAATGAGAGAGCTTGGGTTTGTGGTGATAAAGAGGATTCTGAAGGCAGTGTATTCAGAAGCTGAATGTTATTCCGGAAAGGCCAGAGTGAGAGGAAACCAGGGCTGTTTACTTTGGAAGGGAGAATTACAAAACCCCTTTGATGCACTTACTTCTGTTTCAATCTGATATATGCCGTAGATAGATTGTTCCAAGCCTCCGCATTCTACAGTCAGAATACACACACAAGGGTTAACATTAAACTGTTACAAAAGGGATAAACATTTAAAAGCAAATACATAAGCACACTTTTCTCCACAAGCAATGCCGCTTGCTACTAGCTGATATTTGTGCAAACACAAATATTGAATTTATACCATCCATTAATGTGTGCAAACCAACCATTTATAAGAGAGTTTCAAGCATGTACCACTGACACCTGTTAGGTTATGCAAAGTTCAAAGACCCTGAAGGAGGTTCTGATGCAAGCAGCAGATGCTGATAGAAGAACAACACCCCAACATAAGCAATGGCAATGTGGCCACAGAATATTTTATTGTTTCTCAAATAATGATTTTGGAAAGTCTTTGTACAACTGAGACCTGGTAACATCTTACAAAATGAGGGTGGGGGGGGGGGGAAGAAGACTATTACCTAAGAATTATGGTGCAATATCGTATTTCTTATTTAGAAAGAAAAAAAGCCATTTAAAACCAAGGAAGAGCAAGCTTTCAAATGGTGAGCACCATCATTAAATTTCTAGAATTCTAGAATCAAACCGTAGGGAACAAAATATAAAAATAAAAAATTAGGAATTTTAAAGTATGTTTTTCAGTTTTAATGGACAAAATCACATATGAGAACACAAACTTTTTAAAAGGTTTGGCTACCCTGTAAGCATTTGGCACTTTTAAATTTGTGCATTACATAGCTGTACATGTATAACTGGTGAACTGAAACACATGTTGTACATGCATATACAGTGCATCTGTACATAATTAGGGCACAGGTAATACACTCTGTAACATATATGCACTATGTAGTTGGGTAGGTACAGTGAAACCTGAAGAACTCAATTGATCTCTACAGATAGTCCTTGAGTTATGACCACAGTTGAGCCCCAAAGTGTCTTTTGCCACATTTTACGAACTTTCTTGGCACAGCTGTTCAGTGAATCACTGAAGTTGTTAAGTTAGTAACACTTGTTAAGTGAATCTGGCTTCCCCACTGACTCTGTTGGTCAGAAAATTACAAAAAATAATCACATGACCCCAGGAGACTGCAAACATCATAAACGTGAGCCAGTTGCCAAGCATCTGAAGTGACCACGGGGACGCTGCAATGATTGTAAGTGTGAAAAATGATCATAAGTCATTATTTTCATTGCCATTGTAACTTTAAATGGTCACTAAACAAATGGTTGTAAGTCGAGGACCATCTCTATAACCATTTCTGCATGGTTAACTGCTGCTTTTTTTCTGCAGTGAACCTTTTTTTTTAACTCTCAAACTCATACAGAGATCCACCAACTTTACATATTGCATAAAAAGTAGGAAATGATAATAAAAGGCTATTTAATCAAAGCACACCTGCTTTTCCTTCATTTACTTACATCAGGTTCCAACATCACACAGCGCTGAAAAGCCCGGGAAGCACCTTCATAATCTTCCAATGCTAAATAGGCACAACCTAAGGAAAACCACACCCCCAACTGAAAGAGAAATAAAACAAAATGGATCAAAGAAGCATTTTCCAACTTGACATCTCCCTGCCTCGTGCGTAGACTACAAGATAGCTAGGACCATATTGACTGAGAATTACGGACGTGAAATGGGGAGGACTAAGAAACTGTAGGACATTATTTCTCAACCACCTTAAAATCAACTCCCAGAATTCCCCATGCTGCCAAGTTACCAAAATTGAGATAGACTGCTGTAGGATAACAGTGGCAACTAAATTTTGATATAAACCAACCAGGAACATGTTCTAAAGAGGTAATTGGATATATTTCCTGTTCTCTTCTCCCAGATCATTATCCTGATGAAAAGAAACTCAAGAGAACCACAATGATTTGGTAAACTTCAGCTGGCTCTAGAAGTTTAGGTTTGTTTTCTCTTCATAACAGATAGCAAATATTTATACAAGCAAGATCAGGCTGATCTTGTTTGGGCTCACAAACTAAAAGGACAAAAGCTGAGGAGGAAAAATTCTCAGTCATTTATTTGTAAGTAAGGGATGGATGGCATAAACCTTCAAGGCAAGTCGGTAGCTATATAACTATTCAACCCTTCAAGCGTGTGTTGTATAATGTACATGATATCATAGCATGTTTGGAAATAAAATGGAACCTGTAAATCAGATATAAACAAATTGAGGACATTTAATTTTGTAACTTCAAAGGAATTTGTAGTCTCACTAAGTAACTATCCAGGTTTATTTTTAAAGTCACATACTTGGGCACAAATGGGTCCATTAAAAAGACGCCCCCTGCACTTCCTCATTCCTTGAAAATGACTTAATGTAGATTTCCCCATTGGACAAATTTGAAGCATAAATTTCTAGATGCAGAGCTGGCTTCCCCAGAAGGGAACATTACATATATTTTCAATTTCAAGTTACATAATGAAAAGCCTAACATTTTATATGTAAAACGGCCTGGTTCAGATATAACAACCGGGATCTAATAAACCAGGAAAAGGCAGGTTTCAGGTTAGTCAGATCCACCAATATCTAGATGATTCTTGAGCCAAATCACAAATATGCATTTAAAATTAGAAGTGCTCTGGTTCCAGAAGCTTGCTCTAAAAAATCTGAACTTCAATGGCACTTTTGGGAAAGCATTATACTTTTCTTCAGCAATTTAATTTAGAACAAAGTGATGTTATCTTATTATTATTGTGAAGCTATTTAGAATTTTCAAAAAGACCCTTTACAGTAATATCTATTGGAAATCATACAGAAATAAACCAGAAGTTTCAGGTCTACTCTCTGCAATAAAACTTCACATATAAGCCATGGAACAAGTGTGTGTTAGCCAGTTCCCTCTCCATCCCTCTTTTCATCTTCCTGCTGTCTATGTCAGCTTTTAAAGTCATTGCTTCTTATAATCTACACACTGTAAAGCTAGGTTATGGCATCCTTTCACATCAAGAAATTAAACAATGAAATCCTATAGTAATTCATGGTAATTATCATGGAATTGGACTGATGCCCTAGGGCCGTGATAGCGAACCTGTGGCACGCAGCGCCCTCTCTGTAGGCACACGAACTGTCACACTCGTTCAGCTCCACCGCGCATTAGCGTGCACTTCCCATTGGCCAGTCGGTCATCAGACCACTGCTGTCCATGCGGGGGGGGGGCATGCGCATGCAAGGCATATGCACGGGGCCCATGCACACATTGCATTTTGGGGGTTCGGGCATGCATGAGAACTTTGGGCACTTAGTCTGGAAAAGGTTAGCCATCACTGCCCTAGGGTCTGCACCAGTGGTGGGTTGCAGGCGGTACACCCTGGTACAGGCATATCGGAGCCTGCCCAGAGCACCGGATACCATTCCTGTATGGCGCTCCGGAGGACCCGAGCTCCTTACCGGTTTCCTTACTGAGAAGCTGGAGCATCATGGAAGCTCATGGAGGCAGTAAGACGTCCATGTGGACGTCGCCGGGCCTGTTCGAACCGTACTGGTTGGAACAGGATCCGGAACCCACCACTAGTCAGCACCTTACCTTTGCAGATAGTAATATGTAATAGTAATATGTAATAGTAATAGTAATAGTAGATAGTAATAGTAGATAGTAATATGAATCTGAAAATAAATTTGAGATGTTCAAAATTATACCACTGAAAAATTAAGAGGAGGAGAGAGAGAGGGAGAGAGGGCGGGAGGGAGAATGAATACAGGTATCAGTGATGATTTAATCACTCCATGGAACCACCTAACTATTCTTTTTAAAGGATTAGGTCTTATATGGAATGCATCATCCCAGATTACTAGCCATGCCAGGTAGCACTGATGTAGACTATAAGGCAGTAACATTTGGTTGGTTGGTTGGTTTATTAAACTTGTATGCCGCCCTATTCCCGGGGGGACTCAGGGC